TGCAAAAAGATGGCCAAATAGTCATGATTCAAGTTGTGCCAAGAATTGTGTCAATAAGTCAATTATATCATGTGCCATCGTTGGAAACGAATGTAGCTGGGGTTCGCCAATTCTCTATTCCCTGTCCAGGCTAGCAGATCGAATGGTTATCTGAATCCTTTGGCAATTCATGTCGGTCCAGCAATTCCGGAGATGAAACTTTTTTTTTTCAATTGATTTAGGCTTAGGTACACTGGTTCAGAATAACCTGAACAGTCATAGGTAGCGAGCCTCTCCTCTCTATCCGTGTACGTGGCCATGATTAATCATTCCCAGCGGGTCCTTAAAGATCAGCCCGGTGCCTCTGATCCCTTTCTTTGATGCTCTCTATAATCAACAACTTTATTTTTCACCCGATCTACCCTAATTACAAACGGAAAGTTGACGGGCATCATGACACACTCTTCCGAGGCTGAGCCCCCGCAGCTCCCTTCTCAAGATGAGAAGGAGAAGGTCATCAACCAGCAAGTTGAGGACGCAAAAGTATCGACAGATAATGAGTTAGTGGTGACCCAAGAGGGCTCTGAAACAATCACTGCCAAGACATGGATTGTCATTTTCGTAAGTGATGGCCCAGCTCCAATGTTGATGACGGTTTCTGACCACGACGGCCCCAGTTCCTATCGGCGACCTTCGGTCTCAGCTTTTGGCCAGTACCAACTACGGCAGCGATGCAGGCAAAGATAGCTACTCGGTTTGGAGATCCGTTGTCATACGTCTGGTATGGTAAGTGCTTTTCCGAGCATGTACAACATGCCGGGAATCTGTTGCTGACTTCTCGTGTTTGGAAAGTTCCGGCTTATACAACAGCAAACTCGATCGCCTTCATCCTTGCCGGCACAAACAGCGATCTTTTCGGTCGTAGAATAGTTCTTCTTTTGGGGAATTCCATATGCAGCGTAGGATTCATCATCATTGCCACCGCCCATTCGTCAACACAATTCACTGCTGGCCTCGGAATCACAGGATTTGGCGCAGGCTTCTGTCAAATGGCCATGTGTTCGATACCTGAATTGATGCCAAATAAGTACCGACATATTGGCATCACTATTTCAGATGGGTTTGTCTATTTGATTGTCGTGATTGGCCCGATTGTGGGGAGATACGCCATCGACAAAGGCAACCGAGATTGGCAATTCATCTACTGGGCCGGCTTCATTCTTCAATTTGCTACACTCGGTAGTATCTATTGGCTATACCAGCCCCCGAAGCACCCAAGAGGTGTCCCGTGGGAAGAAGCCATCCGTGGCCTGGACTATGTAGGATCGCTGCTCATTGTGCCAGGGATCTGTCTCACACTAGTTGGCATCATCAATACTACTGTAAGTCACATGCAATATCCTGAAGTTTTGCTACTTGAGAGTGCAAAAACTCTCTAACAGCCTCGCAGTACAAGTCAAGCCGAGATGTTACCGTGCTTGCTCCCTTGTGCACAGGTTTTGGGCTACTCATTCTCTTTGGTCTCTGGGAAACATTTGGAAACGCCCGCTATCCGTTATGTCCTCCGGAGATCTTCAGGTCCCATAATGGGCGAGAGTTTACAGCTCCGTTTATACTGGCTTTCCTCGTATGTCTTCCCCCGCCCCAGAAGACTTTCTTCAACCGGCTGTCGCTGACAATATCCGATTTAGGTTACCATGTTTTACTATGGCATCAACATCATCTGGCCTACAATGGTAAATGCATTCTACATCAACGAAAACACCTCGCGGAGTGAGGAGCTGCTTCTCACACTCCCTAATAACCTCGGGCTGGTCTTTGGAGCTGTTCTGCTTACCTGCTTTGGAAACCTAATCGGACATTGGAAATGGACTCTTTGCATTTCCTGGACTGGCCTGTCGATTTTTGGCGGGTTGCTCGCGCTCGTCACGCCGTACAACAAGGGCACCATGATTGCTTTTGCATTCCTGGAGCAAATGTTCTTCGGCTGGGCACAGTATGAAAGTATCGCCTTCACCCAGCTGGGAGTGAAGCAAGTTGACCTGGGCATCTCGGGAGGCCTAGGTGGAGTTGCGAGATATGCAGGTGAGCATTTCCCCAATATGAACCTGGAGTTTAAGCACGTTGGATTTCTGACTGGGGTATCTCTAAAACAGGAGGATCACTTGCACAGGCGATATACACGACAATCTTGACCAATACGCTGAATACCAAGGCGATGCAAACAGTCCCGGCAGCGGCGGAGGCTCTGGGCTTGGGACAAGCCGAGGCACAGCAGCTTTTCCAAGCCATCTCGACCGGCGCTTCGAGTGCCATCAAGGATATTCCTGGAATTGTAAGGAGCCACCCCTTGTAGAATCTTTCAGCTCTGATCTATTCTTGTTGCTAAGCGTATTCCGTTACAGACCGATGAAATTGTGGTGGCGGCCAGTACGGCATACAAGTGGGCTGTAGCCCACGGACTCAAGATCACCTCGCTCGCTTCCTTGGCGTTTGCTGGTCTGGGCCTGATTTGCTGCCTGCTGTGTGAGAACATCGATGCAAAAATGAACGACAAGACGGAGGTTTTCCTGGAGAACGATGTCAACAGGGAGAAGAATGTGTACCATTAACATCGCAGGCTACGGTACAGAGACATGTAGCTGCGGCTTATCCTGGGCCATCTTAGATGAGAAGTTCTAACAATAATACTAATTGAAAATCCATCGTCTTATTCATCCCTAGTTGTCCGCACCGTCATATCGTTGACTGAAGTGGTGTAGTACAGATCCTCTCATATACATGACCCCATCGGGAGTTCGGAGATCCGATGCACTTCCACATGTAAGACCCTGGACCGGGGGGCACGGGTAATTCATTAGTGATTTTCCAAGCTGTTAGACTAGAAAAGGCGTGAATAGCCTATTCGGAGCCCATCGGACGGCCAGGCACCGAGATGGATATCGCTATTTAAAGCAGCATTTTCGAACGTGAGCGCAGAGGGAGTGTTCTTCTGCCATGATTCACGGCTGGTTTGTCACCTTCCGGCTCAAGCCAGTTAGTGAGCAACACTCTCTGAGCTGAGGCTTCATGCAGTCCCCTTGCGCATGATCTCATGGTGGATCATGGAAATATGTAGAAACTACCAAGTGGACTGTCTATTTTGGGGACCGTGCACCGATTCCTTAGTCGTGCTCGTTCTGGCAATCGTCGCCGCAGCAAAAAACGACCCCGCGACACGTCCAATGCCACCAGTTCAGACTGAATGCTCTTCCACGCGGCACTTCATCTGTCTCAAAACAATCAAATTCAGGTAGAGTTCAATGCCTTGCTCATGCTCTCTATCATTGAATTTTGAGCCATCTGCCGGTTGGCTGGCCACTAGGCATCTATACGGGAGTAAAGAGAGACCCATCCAACCCCTCCATGACCCCACTGATAACCCCTCGCGTTTTTTCATATCTTCACGTACAACCAGGCTGTAGATTCACGGGAGAGTGTTGCGGTGCAGAGTACTCCCTGCCCTCATCCGCTACGCCCAACAGAACACGCATCACACCGTCTTGATGTAACAGCAGACCCTTGTCCTGCGACGTGCAGGACCTCCATCGACTAATGCTAATCCCTCAACAAGGGCCGTGAGGGATGTGATTGATAAAGCAGGGCTCGAATTCCAAATCTAAAGTGGAGCCGGCTCCCGACCGTAACTCCGGGCTTCGGAGGGCGCCACCTTTCACCTCATTGAGCGGAGCGATGGCGAAGCCGACAGTCTTCTTAAAGCTTGGGCTCCTCCCAGGTCGAATGCGGTCCGAAGTCCTTCTCTCCCCCATTCACCAGCTTCCAACCAGCGCTACTCTCACTCCAATCTCCTCGCCTCATCCCACCTAATCAAATCAAAATGTCTGCTCTCAAGGCCGGTGACAGCTTCCCCGAGGGGGTTGCTTTCGGTATGTGACCGTGAAATCGACCCTTATACGCCGGTTTCTGGGCTGGAGGCTAATTGGTTCCAAAGCATGGATCCCTCCCACCAAGGAGACCAGCGAGTTCAGCCAGTGCGGTATTCCCATCAAGTACGACGCCACCGCCGAGTTCAAGAACAAGAAGGTCGTCATCATCTCTCTTCCGTGAGTGCCGCCAATCTCTTATCCTCGTCTCCTCCCCACCGCGGGGCCCTCCTCCTCCAATTCAAGTCTTATGGACAGCAATGATTAACGAATCCCTTTAAACAGTGGTGCCTTCACTCCTACATGCAGTGCCCGCCACGTCCCCGGCTTCAAGGAGAACAAGGACAAGCTCGTTGCCAAGGGTGTTGAGCAGGTCATCGTTCTCGCTCACAACGACGCCTATGTCATGTCCGGCTGGGGCAAGGCCAACGGTGTCTCCGATGAGTTCATTGTACGTATCTCACCACGAGATACCACTCATATATCCTCTGATTCGAAAAGACGAGCTGTTGTGCTGACAATACATGTTAACAGGTCTTCGCCTCCGACTCCGACCTCAAGTTCTCCAAGAGCCTTGGCTGGACCGTCAACAACGGCGAGCGCAGCGACCGCTGGGCCATCGTTGTCGACCACGGAAAGGTCACCTACGCCGCCAAGGAGGAAGAGCTCCAGTCTCTTGACTTCTCTGGTTTCGATGTCGTTTACAAGCACCTGTAGAAACAAAATACAGTCGAGAGATAGAAATAGATCAGCTGTGGAATAGACCATAGAATCGATACCACTCAAAATAAAGAAATAATTTAGAGAAACTGCATACCAGAACATCTCATATGGTCTCCAATCACTTTTAGAAATGGGTTACTCCTTATTTGAACTGTGCCCTTTCTTATACAACATTTTCACACAAATGTTATGATCAATTATTCTTTTTATCAGAAATCCCATTTGTTGGATTGATTATAAGTACAATGGTTCTAATAATGGGGGCAGACTCAAGTTGACGCAATGACCTGAGATGACCGATGTTTATACAACTCGGTTCAACCGAGTTAAAACCCAAATTCCCACAGCGATACAGTTGAAGCTAACCTCTAACTACTACCAAGCACGAGGTCTGGAAGTCCTGCGACTGGGCTTTGGTGCAGTACCTCTAGTTGTAGTTTGAGAGGTGAGCTTTTCCAGAAGTTTCACCAAGGGCGGCCCCAGCTCATGCGAGGGGATAGAGACTGCCTCCAAGGCATTATTCAGATGGATCCGCAACGTTCCCCTGATGCATCTGCCCTTCCCATTGCCGTACTTGTCATAGCCACTTTCTTCAAGGGCTGTATATAGGGCATGTCGGACCCGTCGCATCGCTCTCAAGCGCACCACACGCTTGGGGCCGCCGTTGACCGAACATATCAACCACAGCGGCCGTTCCTTGGACCACCGAGCCCACTTTGCCTTCTGCGAGGCCCCCAAAGGATGGCCTCGAGGATCCAGGTATTTGACATAGAGGGGATCAATTATGTGGCGGGGACAGAAGGACAAGGTGGCCCTGAATTTCTTGACGATCTGGCGCGTTTCGGGATCCATCGCCGGGACGGTTGCCCGCGAGATGTCATGCTCGATACCGTATCTGGAGAGGAAATCGGTGTTCTCCGGTGTTGTCCAAAGACGGCCATCTGGGAAATAGTACGATTTGCACTCTTCGGGAATGTATCTGGCGACGCGCTTCCCCGTAAGACATCCAGAACCGGTTGAAAAGACGGAGCGAAGAGCGGGAGGGCGCAAGTTGAAAAGCTTCTGCCGGAGGGAAGCTGAGGCTGCTGCCATATCAACCAGTGAGTTGGGTACCTAGCTTTGAAACTTCATCACTCCAGGTGAGATAATCAAGCCATCCATGGAGCACTGTCGAGTTTGCCTTTTGACAGTTCCAGCGAGCCAGGCTTGATCGGGGCAGGAAGCAGAGCTCTACCGGCTCGTTTGAAGCTCGTGGCGGTCCAACTGCGGCTGGCAAAAGTGGCAAGGGGGTGTGGCTGACTTAGGTAAGCAAGGCACATACAAGGGTCCCGTCCAATAGAAGCACACCGCACACTCGCCTCATTATGAAAAAAAAGCCATCTGCATTGAGTCATCTTTGTTCATCGCCGCCCCCATAAGCCACGCCCCCTGCACCGTGCGCCAGACCCAGTAATACAACGGACGTGAAAGCCCAACCACAAAAGCAGAGACGCCTGAGAATAAAAAGGCCTGCTGCCCACCAAACATTAAACGCAACTCCACAACCAAACACCCCCAAACGGGAACCCGACCACCACTGGAGTTCCTTGCGCCCTTTCTTACCATTTCAACTTCTGTTCTCCCCCATACTGTTCGATTTTTATCCAGTCAACTCCACCAACAGCTATGCCTAAGAACAAGGGAAAGGTACAGTGACGACACCCCAGTTGCGCGAAGACCTCTGCGACCCCGCCCCCACCTCCACTGAAAATCGGGCAGCCAGCCGCGCGCCAACGCAGAGACATCGAGAAAAACCATGGCTAATCAACTTGTGACAAACAGGGCGGCAAGAACCGCAGAAGGGGTACCAAGGAGAACGACGACCAGCGTCGTGAACTCACCTTCAAGGAGGATGGCCAGGAGTACGCCCAGGTCGTGAAGATGCTTGGCAACGGTCGCCTCGAGGCTATGTGTTTCGACGGCAGCAAGCGCCTCGCCAACGTGCGTATCCCGCCAGATTTTTCATCCACACGCCCCTTTTCTACACCCGCTAACATCAACTCTAGATCCGCGGAAAGATGCGCAAGAAGGTCTGGATCAACCAGGGCGACATCATCCTCCTGTCCCTGCGAGACTTCCAGGACAACAAGGGCGACGTGATCCTCAAGTACACAGCCGACGAGGCCCGGACGCTCAAGTCCTACGGCGAGCTCCCCGAAAACGCCAAGATCAACGAGACCGACACCTTCGGCCAGGCCGAGGGCGACGAGGCCGGTTTCGAGTTCGGCGACGCCGACTCCGAGGAGGAGTCCGACGCCGACGTCCCCGGCGGCAAGAAGGAGGTCGATATCGACGATATTTAAACGACCTCCCGGTGGATTTGGAAAGAAAAAAAAGAAGAAACCAGCAGCGGCTCGGAATTGCTAGAATATGGATCTTCTCCGTTGGCCCCTCGCCGTCTAGCCTCCCCCTCCCCCTCCCCGGACATTGGGTGTGTGGGTGGGGGAGGCCAGTAATACTGTCTTCTCTCTCAAACCCGTTGATCACGCACACTTCGGGTCCCACGACAGTGAGGACGTGGGGTGAGGCAGCCATGGTGGGAGAGACGCTATGGCCTGTCATGTTGATTCACCTTGCCTTGTTCCTTTGGCTTTTTGGTCTTTGTTCATTTTACGCTCGGCGCGGAAGAAGGATTCCCAACAGCAACCCTTTCTGATAAAACATCAATACAAACTCTTAAATCATCCATCTGAACGAACAAGCATGGCGTTGAGCAATGATGAAGTGATGATGGCCACCAATTTTGAAGAACGATTGACACGTGCTGGTAAGAATTGAAATAGTGGTGAATTGAGACCCAAATGCAAAGATCGATCCCTCTCAGTAGTCGCCAGTGGCGGTCGGATTGTATAGTGTCCGCTACCCTCATGCCGTCATCGACTCATCTGGTGAGATGGCCGAGTTGGTTATGGCGTCAGGTTAAGGCTACCTTAGCATTCATTCCTGGTGGAGCAATCCTCCTGGGTTCGAGTCCCAGTCTCATCATTTCTTTTGCTATTACGGGATTATGATCTCTTTTGCTGTTACGGGATGCTGATCCTATTTTTGTCGGTGTTAGTCAATTCTGTGGAGTAAGAATGATCATCTTGTTTTGTTCATGTTTAAATTTTATTGAGGTGCAAAAAGAAAACCATGTTTATGTGATATTTGTGCGCCTTTTAGATAAAAGGCAAAAATTGATGAGACTGGGACTCGAACCCAGGAGGATTGCTCCACCAGGAATGAATGCTAAGGTAGCCTTAACCTGACGCCATAACCAACTCGGCCATCTCACCGTGGATGTCAATGGTGCCTCTACCAGTGCATATATTCACGACCCGACAAAAGAGTCGATTCACATGAGCCGGGTTCACGGGCGATTCTACGTTTGTAGTCACATGGAAACGCCATGAAGTATCTCTTATATAATCGGTAGTCTATTCATGGTAATGTGTTGCACTATCCACATGATGCAAATGGGTAGCCTCGCAAGATGCTTCACGCGAACTAAAACGGTGTTCGCGGCTTGCTTCTTCCTGAAAGAAGGGCTTTTCTTCTACAAACGTAACGCCCAGCTCCTCCAGCGTCATGGTCTTTCATAGGGTGCAGCCCCGCTGGCGGAGACAAACCCGGGCCTGGTTACCGGGTTGAAGCTATCGTGCTGGATAGTAATAGCTTGGGCCCTCAAGGAGTAATGATCGTAATCTTGTTGTCGGGTCGCGGGTAAGCATTGGCCATTGTCACTTGCAATTCCCATCCCCAAGCAATATCGTGTTCATCCATCTCTTATTTACCAGTCATCGTTATCACTCTCGTCATCTTCATCATCCATTTTGTTAGTGGGGAAGAACTCAAACAGAGGTCATTGAGAAGAAACTTACCGCTCCTGCTAACTTTTTCCTTCCGTTTCTGAAGTGCCACAGCGAGCGCATCGGCCATGCCTCCACCAGCGGCAGGGGCCGCGGCGCCGACAGCTGAGCTAGTTGCAGAGTCGCCGCCACCCCCGACTTGTGCTCCACTGCGATCTCGAATCTTAGTTCTGTCGACCTTCTTAAGCGAAGCAATACCGCCAGCCTTTTGAATATCTCCCAGCATCGCCGACCGCCCAGTATCTGCGCCTGGGGGAGCTGGGACACCTGAAGCATATCCCGAGTCTCGATTCGGAGGGGGGGGAGGTGGAGGAGCTGGCGGCCCACTGCCAGATACCGGAGCCGGGGGAGGAGGTGGTGGGGGAGGGGCCGGAGGTGCTCCGCTGGTAGTTGGCGGCAGAGGAGGGGGCGCCGGGGGAGGAGGAGCTGCGCTGGTAGTTGGTGGTAATGGCGGCGGCGGAGGGGGAAGCGCTGGTGTACTCTGCGCTGGTGGGGGCGGAGGTGGTTGAGGTGCGGCAGCTGGAGGTGGAGGAATCGGTCGAGAGCTCATGGGCGGCAAAGGGGGAGGACCAGCCGCTGGAACCTTTGGTGGGAGAGGAGGTGGTGCGGGTGCAACGGCGTGTGTTGGTGAGGGTTGAGCAGCATTGCTTCGAGGGGGCGGAGGTGGGGGAACTGGTCCTCGACTTGGAGTCGGAGGGGGGGGGTTGTTCCTCTGGCCTGAAAAGGGGGGTGGAACTCCAAACTTGTGACTGGAATTCTCTTCGATTGGTGTTTTGGCCGGTCTTGGAGGCGGTGGAGGGCCGGCCGACCTTGGAGGAGGAAGAGGGGCTGTTTTGGGAGCTTCTTTGGCAAATTTACCAGCGTCAGCCAGAGGTGGTGGTGCGTTAAACCTCACCCGTGGTGGGACAGGAGAAGGTTCAGGTGAGTCCCTGCTTTCATGCTCTGTCTTGCCAGATCGTCTGGGGGCTGGAGGTGGAGGAGCCTTGGAGTTTGCTGGCGGAGACATTGGCTCAGGGCGTCCTCCAGGAGGAGGGGGCGGAGGAGGTCGTGAGCTTCGAGCATCGTGGCCATTTGGAGGAGGCGCAGACGGGGGAGGAGGCGGAGGAGGATGAGATGCTGCTTTAGGGGCTTCTGGCGGTGTAGCTTGCTGTTGTTCACGAACAAACTCGATGATGAACTCCTGGTTGTCCTTGATGAAGTCATCCGTCAAGCCCTTGTCCTTCAGATCTTGCCCAAAGTTCTCCCTCCACATTGGGTCAAATTCGTCGAGAATAGGGAATTCGGATGAAGTTGTACTGCCATTGAGGCTGTATGTGGACATGTGGTGCGAGGGCTGCGGCGGAAGGGTGTGGCGCTGAGACTCGGTCGGAGAAGGAGCAGAAGAATGGCGAGATCCAAACAAGCCTCCCAACAAGCCGTGGCCATGCTTCTTCTCAGGCTGAGGGCCGCCACCAAAATGGGTCGCCCTAGTTGCTTTGCTGGCATTCTTCTCTCGATCGTCCATTTTCTTCTTAAACTGCTTGGCCTCCTTCTCATCTACGAAGCTCAACCCAGCGACGCATTCTTCCAATTCGAACGTATGAAAAAAGGTCCTATCTTGGTGGTATGTCCAGGTATCAAAAATCTCTTGGTCCCATATGACGCCGCGATTCGAAGACTGCACGGATATTACGGTTAGAGTGAATGGGAGCAGGATAGGCCGGTCTGTTGCCACATACCGATATGTCCACCAGCTTGATCCAATACGTATTCCCTACCAAATCGTTGGAGAGTACGATGGCCCCTTGGAGTCCAGTATATGTCCATTTCGATCGGTTGGGGTATGCAACGTATAGTTTGGCGACAGCGACAGCCTGGATCTTGTTGGACTGCTTGGGCACAAATCGCTTCACAGTGTCCTTATCGTCATCGCTAAGGATGGAAGGCATGGTGAGGCGACCAGGAAAGCTCAGAAAGCCCCCAGTCTATGCGTAGAATGTGGCCAAAGCAAGCAATGCCTGGAAATATGAAATTCGAGAGCGGGTGCGGTCGCCGCAATGTGGAAATCGGATCGGATGGCAGGCGACTCGTCAATCGGTGGGCGGAGCGAACCTTGTCGTTGTCTAAGCCCTCACACTTGGAAGCGAGCGTTGTCGGATCCAGAGGGTCCGGAACAGTGTCGTATCTAGATGGGATCAATCTCCAAGGACAGAGGAGGGTGATGTGCGTGGTCCGTCAACAGGCCAGACCACCGACTATCCGACGACGGAGAATGAGGGTGAGGATTATGAGTTGATTGGGGTTGGTTGGTTCTCGAATGTGGAGTGCCTCGTTCAGGGCGGGTACATGCTCCAGCAAGCGGATGCTGCTTAACGTGCCTGCGCTAACGTGATTCAGGAGGAACATGGGCATTCAGCTGCGTGTAACTGTGTGCGTGTGGCTCAATAACGACAGCCTGCTCGGAATTGCCCATCCAAAAGTGCCTGCTTAACTAAGGACTTGTCTAAGCGGGTACTGGAAGCAGTTGATAACGTGCGCATATACCTAGGACTCAGCCACACTTGATACTTTAATACCTATACATAGTAGAAACGGAGCCCACACTGCAGAGCCACAGCCGAACAACGTCAGAGAGTCTCGGGCGCTGTCGTCATCTCGCAGCAGTGGACACTGGCATCAACCATCTGCCTAAGAACGCGTGGAGTAATAAGTCGCCGTGAGGCCATGATGGAAAGCCATGAGGCTCTACAGTGGTTATCTTGGTAGCTACGGTTGCAATGAGCTGACAAAGTGACCGTTACCATGAGATGAGGGGCGCCCGCCACACAAACTCGGCTGCACATGCACTTGCCAGGGATTGGAGAGCATCACCGAGCTTCAAGAGACGTGTTCCAAACATTCGTGTATTCATTCATTCAATTATTTCTATCTCCACTCAAACGCCGAGCGGCAGGGCTCATTTATTCAGAGCTTCCTTCTTGGCCTGGCGCTCCTCCTTGGTGCCCTCCTTGGGCGGCATGTCTTGCGTCCTGGCGGGACCAGGGTGGGCATTAAACGGCGCGAACTTTGGGTCGTGGCCCTGCTCATTGATGGGCTGGATGGAGAACTGCTTCTCGCCCTGCATAGGAAGTTAGCCGAGAAGGATCTGTGCGGTTAGGTGTGGCCAAGACAAGCCCAGGCCACAGCATGGGTAGAAGGAGACCAACCTCGTTTGGCTTGTTATCGGAAGGCATGGTGTCTAATATGAACTCAGAAAGATAGATGGGTGCTATTCAACCGGGTTTATCACGAAATGATGGAGATGTGTAAAGATTAAATTCTACCTGGCAGTTGGGACTTATCCAGCGGCTACTTATACTTTGTTTGGGCAGGCTCACGCCGATGACGTCTTGCCGGGAGTGGCAGCCATGATCGCGTAGCTCCGATTCACATTGGCTACGGCCTCAGCCACAGATCCCAAGCCGACGTATCGGACTGCGTACGCTCCCAACAGCTCAATGCTCGAGTTGAGAAAACTTGGATCGTGTGTGTAATAGGTGTGCCAGGATCCACTGCTTCTTCTCAAAAGGTATGCGACATTGCATAATGAGCGACAATGTGATCATAATCTGCGCAGTAGTACCGAATGGAAGACAGCAACGGAAGTTCATGGGACTGGCATCGTCATCAAGTACAGAGAAAGCAAGTAAAAGGTGATGAAGGAACTACAAGATGGTTTTTGCACAGTTGGGTATCACACTCGTCAACGCAACGCAACGGAAGCATCCATCTGCAGGCATTGATGGGATAATAAGCAACCTTTCAGGGCATAAGATCGCTAGAGCGCCTGATGCCCAGGGCTGTCGAGATTTCAGGCTAGCACACTACAAGGGCAAATACAAGTACCTGGATAACGAGCAAAATGTATTGTTTCTAAAACTGTTTATGCGTTTAGAGTGAAATATTTTGGGAGTCTTGTTACTGAACGTCGATGGGAGATCATCGTGCAGTCTTCCTTGCGAGACAGAGCGCTTTGTGTCTGCACTGTCATGCCTTCTCGTCTAGTAGCCCCCCAGTGTGTAAATCAGTTTAGGTAGTGCCTCTAGTGGGTGCTACCCAACTGAACCTACCCGGAAACGCGTAAGATCTCAATGCATGCACGATTGATACGACCCAACTACGGCCTCTCATTCGGGTCCAGTTCGCTCTCACAATAACCCGTGCAGCAGCTGCTTGCAAATCATCAACTCACACGTCTGCACCCCTTCTTTCGGAGCACATCCATTGGTACGTGCCCCGCATGTCGACGAGCGATACACCTCAGCCTGTGAAACTATCATTGCCGTTGGTGAGTGAGACCCGTTATGGGATCCGATTCGCCTTGATTCACGGCGCTGATTGCATCCATACACTCCCAGGAGTACCAGCAAGAGCTATTCCAAGAAGTCCGTGCCGATGATGGGCTGGTGGTCCTTGCCCGTGGCCTGGGCTTGATGCGCCTCGTCACCAATCTCCTGCACTCCTACGATGCAGCCGGCAACAACCTGATCGTTGTCGTTGGCGCCGAGGAGCGTGAGAATGGCTGGATTGGCGAGGCGCTGGCGGAACATGCTGCCATCAGCATGTCCCCCAAAGCTCGGGGCTTGACGCTTGTCAACACCGAATCCCAGACTGTAGGCGCAAGGGAGAAGATGTACGCTCGCGGTGGCATATTCAGCGTCACCTCCCGTATCCTGGTTGTTGATCTACTCACGGGCCTACTCAACCCAGAAACCATCACTGGCCTTGTCGTTCTCCACGCCGACAGGGTAGTAGCTACGTCTCTGGAAGCCTTCATCTTGCGGGTCTATCGCCAGAAGAACAAGGCTGGGTTTCTGAAGGCCTTTTCAGATAATCCCGACCCCTTCACCATAGGCTTTTCCCCCCTCTCCACCATGCTGCGGAACCTCTTCCTTAAAAAAGCCTCCCTTTGGCCGAGATTTCATGTGACGGTTGCCCATGCTCTAGAAGGGAAGAAAAAGGCCGAGGTGATAGAGCTCGAGGTTCCCATGACCGACATGATGAAAGAAATACAAAACGCCATTATGGAATGCGTGGAAATCAGCATTCATGAGTTGAAGAAGGGGAATTCCGGGCTGGAGATGGACGACTGGAACCTTGACAGTGCCCTGCTGAAAAACTTTGATCTGATCATCAGGCGGCAGTTGGATCCCAATTGGCACCGAGTGAGCTGGAAGACTCGTCAGATTGTCAATGACCTCTCCGTCCTTCGGACCTTGCTCAATTCCGTCTTGACCTTTGACGCGGTTTCGTTCCTCCAAAACCTCGATACCATCCACGCTGCACATTCCCCGGCACCCGGGTCTACAAGGCAAACACAGTCACCCTGGCTGTTTCTGGATGCCACCCAGACCTTGTTCGAGACCGCACGCAGAAGGGTCTACTCAGCGAACCCCAAAAACATCAGCAAGGAGGAAAACATTGACTCTTTACATCCCGTACTCGAGGAGCTCCCCAAGTGGGCGCTCTTATCGGAAGTGCTTGAGGAGATTGACCGTGATCTGTACTTTGAGCCTCAAATCAAAGATGACTCTAACGGGACCATTTTGATCATGTGCGCAAGCCAGGACACCTGCCGGCAACTCCGGGACTATCTTCAGACCATGCATGTGAAAACCAAAGCGGAGAGCAGCAAACCGGCGAGGGATACCGGAGACGGTGGGGAGGAGGGCGGAGGGGAAGAGGAAGAGGAGGATAAAGCTTCTGCATCCTTCATGATGCGAAGGCGGCTACGGAATTATTTGAACTGGAAGAAACAGTTTGCTCAGGTCAACGCAACACTGTTCGCCGATAATCAAAAGGCCCTGAACTCTGCAACGGCCACCAGAGGGGGCAGGGCGCCCCCTAACAAGAGAAGGCGTGTTCGGGGTGGTGGGAATATGGGTGCAAACATGGGCCGTGCAGACAACGGCAGCATCGTCCAATTTTTTGAGAAACCCGGTGAGGTCGCTGACCTCATGGCTGAGGTGCGGCTGACAGAGGAAGAGGCCCAGCAAAAACCCGAGATCATCGCTGACCCAATGGACAACATGGACGAGTTCTACGAAATGTTTGAAATGCAGGAACTGGTTGCCATTCACGCGTATGATGGGGATCTGGATGAGCATGTCCTCGAGGAGGTTAGGCCACGGTACATCATCATGTACGAGCCTGATGCCTCATTCATCAGAAGAGTGGAGGTGTATCGTTCGTCTCACAACGACCGGAATGTGAGAGTCTATTTCATGTACTACGGCGGCTCTGTGGAAGAACAAAGATACCTGTCTTCCGTGCGTCGTGAGAAGGATGCATTCACAAAGTTGATCAAGGAGCGGGCCAGCATGTCCTTGGTCATGACTGTCGACCCCAGTGGGGAAGATGATCAGGAGGCATTCCTACGGACCGTGAACACGAGAATCGCGGGAGGCGGCAGGCTGGCAGCGACTGCTGAGCCTCCTCGTGTGGTGGTTGATGTGAGAGAGTTCAGGTCTTCCCTGCCGTCTCTTCTGCACGGGAGGTCAATGGTTATCGTCCCGTGCATGTTGACGGTTGGTGATTACATTTTGACGCCGCACATATGCGTGGAACGTAAATCGATCAGCGATCTCATCTCTTCCTTCAAAGACGGCCGCTTGTACAGTCAAGCCGAGGCCATGTTCCAGCATTACCGGGATCCCATGCTTCTCATTGAGTTCGACCAGAACAAGTCTTTTACTCTAGAACCATTTGCAGACCTTTCGGGTAACCTAAGCAGTCTGGCCCCTGGAAACGTCGCGTCCGATCTCCAGTCCAAGCTAGTATTGCTCACGCTCGCGTTCCCAAGGCTGCGTGTCATATGGTCCTCGTCACCGTACCAAACAGCAGAAATCTTCGAGTCCCTGAAGCAACAGGAAAAGGAGCCCGATCCGATCGCAGCGGTGCAGGCCGGTCT